AGTAAATTGTTTAGATCGTTTTATTTTGGGTTATTCTAAAAACGTATGTTGACATTTTTCTTAAAGTTATTTTAATTCACCTTAACAGAATAAATATGTACACTATATTGGTCCTGAAATATCACGGCAAAGGTTTCTCCAATATCAGTCAGGTAGTTAAATTACAGCAAAATGCGGTTCTTTAAATGTCGGAGCACATAGCCTAGTTGCTTTGCGCCAATAAATGCCACTCCACCAACTAACCTTGAATGTCATGCAGACTAACATTTCAAAGATGAACAGCAACGTAATTACAAATAACTGAATAAATAAAACAAATTTCTATTCACAAGCAGTGTTTGTGTTGAACCAAACTGACCAGCTTCTGTTTTCTATTCTGACTTCTCACTGGCTAGTGGGGCTGGAGTGAGAGTTTAAACTAAATTCGCACAAAACAGGTACAGGATAAATGTTAATGTGATACCATACAAGTCATACATGGTTGTAATGTGGTATCCCACAGTCCTTAGATTGCCTATGTTAACTACAATTTCAAATAACATACATAAGAGAGAGATCGACAATTCACGCATCTATGCCATCCCTTGAGATGGGCTTGTCCTTCTAAATGGAGTAGACACAGAGACAAGGTCAAGATTATGCAAGATTCTACGGGATAACTGTTGTATATGTAACATTTACGTAAACAAAACAACTAGTACATCTTTACAACCTTTGTACATTTGATTTACAAGGATGTCATAACAACATGCAGGATATATGCATGGAAATTTAATTTGTAAGTTTATTTCAGATATTAACGTAAGGATACATAAGGGTTACCTACGCTAGCGGTACTTAATTTTGAACTCATAAACTAGATGGAAGGCAACTAGTTAACAACACCCATCGCCAATCCTTTAATCGAATAATGCGATTTGGTCATCACTCTTAAAACGCACCTATAACCCCAAGTTGCTGAGCAAGATTTTCTGGCAGTGGGACTCGAAACTTTAACTCTCATAATCAGTCCAGCAAACTACCCACTAAGCCACGCCCGACTTCAAAATTTAGAAATAATTATCTGGATATACCCAAATAAAGAAATACATTCTGAATTAGTTATGAAAGTATGAAATTAGCAGTTACTTTTACTGTGATACTTCTATGTCTGTCCGTAAATTCATACTATAAAGAACTACAAAGAATTTATGACTTGCCTTCCTAATAATAATAATAAAACTTGCTACCCTGACCGGAAATTTTAAAACAAATACAGAACTCGACTCTGTATTAATAGTGCTTAGCTAACTTTATAGTAGTTTGGTTAGAATTTCGCGCAAAGCTACACGAGGACTATCTGCGCTAGCAATCCATAATTTTGCAGTAATAGACAGTCAACACTACCAACTGCCAACTCTTTTACTATCACATTATAAATCCCTCACGGCTGAAAGGACGGGGATTCGAATACGCGACTCTCAGATTGCGAGTCGAGCACTCAAACCACTAGGCCATGCCAGTCCCAAACTTAGGGTATACTGCATACTTTAAAACTACTTTTCATGTTCTGGTGGTTTACATTTTGGGCCATAAAGGTTTGGTACAGAAATAATAAAAAGGGTAATTTAAAATTTTTCTTTATAACATCGTATCATATTTATAGCTTACATTATATTTAACGCCAAGTCAGAGATCCATTTATGGGGAGTTGATTCCTAAACAAAGCTTTCCAGTACTTTGTTTCTTCTTGTTTTGTTTTTTTAAAAGTATGATAGAGATTAAAATTCCTTGTGATATCTGGAATCTGAATTACCCACCAGCATGGACGAACTCGCACTAGTTTCCATAATATGAGAGTAAAACCTATATCTCCATCCAAATTCCTACATCAAACACGGTAGTGGCTGTACATGTTGCACATTACAATATCTGGTTCCTCAGCTCTATAAAACCGTTTTCTCTGCGTTTTGCACAAGATCTGTAAAAAGCAGAATTGTGGCATTTCCAGTCATCATTGGCTTTGTTGTGATAGTCTATGATCGGAAACGCATACAAATTACTCTCCAAGTCGGTCGCAGGGATTATTCTTGTATTCGAAGAATGAGATAGTAGTAGTAGTTGTAGCAAAGCAGCATCAGTAGCAAAGACAGCAATGGTAGTGCCAGTAGTACTAGCAACATTGGTAATGCACACGAGGGAATATAGACCAGTCAATGATTTATCTCCATTTTAGACCTATAAGGATCCATTATTCATAAGCGCTTTTTATTTGACCAATCACGGTACGCCAACATGAACACTTCTACTCTTTGTGCAAGGGGAACATAGTCTGGCCAAACCTTAATTCTGCATCTTCGTGGCCAAAAACTAGTGAGAGGTGAGTTATTTAGACAGTAAAATGTGTTGTTTTTTTTAGTTTAGCATATCGAGTCCTTTATCAGAGTACACTGTTTTTGGTTTTAACATGAATACCGGAAACCATGACACCCCTCTGTAGCCCACCCAATTACCGAATTCGGTCTCATCAATCGCAGACTGGGTGTTAACATAAAACTATTTATCGATGAATGTTAATAAAAAAAATCCACATTAAACTTATAAAACTAATGACTTCTCCGTTTCCGCTCAAGTGGTTTTGTCTTTCATAAACTATAACGAGTTTTCAAAATAATTGTATAATCAAATCAATACAATTAAACTTGTAAAGCTAACAGTGATATGTCATGCACATTAGTTTCCGTTGAATTATGCAACAACGTGGTTTTCTCTTTCCATAAATGTTTATCTAACTTGACGAGTCATTTCAGTGTAAGGTAATTGCGTTATAATACACTCCACAAAATGTAATGCAGAATTATATAATTTTATGGTAGTTGTTTGCATTTGATAAACAATATTAACTGGTTGTCTAATAAACTTTACTGATTAAAATTAGTCTAACAGGTACTTCACCAAACCAAAGTATTTGTGGTAGTGCTATTGAGAACAAGACAATTTCTTATAATCTATATACTACTAAAACTCTGAGATTGTTTGTTTGTTTGTTTGCTTGTCTGTAATTAAATACAGCAACAACTGCTCACAATAGCGCCATATTTGTAATGAAATGAGAATAGAAACATAATAAAACAAGTTTAGTTAAAATCCGGCCACGGGTTACCGAGTTAGTGCCGTTTTTCGGGTCACTTTCATGAAAATTTCTAGCATGAGTAATTTTACATCACACTACCGTTCGTGCTCTTTACGAAACTTCATCGTTCAAATCTATTTCCCTATCAATGTTTCCATCTTCTTTGAAAAATGAAATGGTCCTTACTTTTACTCCCGATCAACAATCAAATATCTTTTCTTGAATTATGAATAACACGAATGGATTGAAATAAACCTTCATTTCGGTGCAATATTGAAATAAGCTTGAATTCTTCATAACCTCTGAATAGTGGGTGACCCAACGGGTCACGGTGGTCCAGTATTAACTAAAATTAGAAGCGGACATTAAAACAGTCTCGATATTTTGAATTCGGAAAGAGTTTTATTCAGATTATTGTCCTTAAGTACAGTCAGTTCGTTGAATAAGAACAAATTAACTCAAATTACTAGTGTTGAAACATGTTAGCTTTAGCACAACAAATCTAGATATTAATAGTTCATGTACGTATATTGAAATAAGCTTGATGTACTTCCTCAGGGTCTCTGAAAGTGTTTTGTTTCAATAGTAAATAAAAGCAAAATCAAGAGTAAAAATATGTTTAATTCTTGCTTTTGAAGTTCATATGTAATACTGTGTTTTCGACTTCTTTCGTGATATGTCAGTCATCAAACTGTTATTGATTAATTTCAAATAAGCATGTTAACCGACGTATGTCAAAAATCGGAAAACAGATAAACTTATTCCACATCGTTAAAGATCCTGAAAAGAAATTGACTTCCCACGACTTTACGGTTACTTACGTAAGACGCTTATTATTTTCTGCTTCTCAAGGATGTTTGTTACTTTGAATTATTTAAAGTGATCTTCTTTCTTTTTGTTTTCCACTGAAAAACAGTTACCATTTCAAACTCCACTTTTAGTTATCTTCAACTCTGACTTTTGCGCTTTCTCTACTGATAGTTAAGTGTCAATGGTCAAAGCCAATCAATAATTTAGCTTATAACGCTAACGTACCCACATGATGACGACAGCAGCATTAAGAATCGTTTGAAGTTAAAAAAAATAAAAAAAATACACGAGAGACTAGTTCCCAACAAACGAGACTGATGGCGATAACATACGTCACCTAGCAACAGGAAACTATCTGATGAGAAACGATTTTCGCCAAAGAACTGAACAATAATAGAAGTTAACGATCTTGGATTTTGCTGAGCGAGGAAATCATTTGAATGGTAAAGTGACTATCGAGACCACTATGATCGCGAGTAAATTTTGAATATTTTTTCCAAAGAAGTCTGGGTTCGAAATTAAACTCGCATTTCCAGACTGTATACTTAGCTGCCAACTCTGTGATACACTGTTTCCACGTGTACAAGTTTAAAGGGGGGGGCGGCAAATGTATTCTACTCCATAAATATTGCATTTCTTTCAAAAAATCAATTTAGAACTTATATTAAAATGTTCTTAAATTCAAAAATATTTTATACTAGAAGTATTAAACCTTATTCGAAGTTTATTTTAGATCTTTCATTAAATTCTCTGTTGTATAATCTTCTAAAAATATTAATTTATATATTTTTGGAGTTTTTTTTTTCATAGTTATTAGCACGTGAAGTATACTGGGAAATTTTTATGCTTGTGCCTGTTAAAACACTGGGTGAAATTACTTATTTTCCATGCATTTTACATGAAAATTAGTGATTTTACCTAGTGGAATGAATTGTAATAATGATGGTATTATTATATTTTTTATATCCATAAGCAATTTGGCACATAGGTAGTTTAGAAAAATGTGTTTCAAAATCCTATGGCCTCCAACTGTAACGGTAGGGTTGTTGGGAAACAAAAATCACAATCGCTGACAAACCTTTATCATCTTTCTTTCTCAAATGTCGCTTTTCCAATTTATGTTGATCCACTGAAGAACTCGCTCCTGAAGAAGAAAGGTTTGATTTTCTGAGGTATTCGAGTTATGGGGCTTTTTATGCTGTGAAGTGATTAAAACTACATCCATTCAAGTAATTTATGTAATGTATTTCGGTCAATTCATTTGCAGTTTCTGTAATTGCCGAAAAATGTGTGCATTGTAGAAAAAATAAACACACTACTTTTATAGTTTGATTGTATAGAATATAGATCACTAAATCTGTATTATCTTCATTCAACGTGGGTTCTAAAGAGCGATTAACTGTTGTAGAAGTCAGAATGGCACTGTACTGTTTATGGAAATGGTAAAACTGTGAAATATTCATTACGTTCATGGCACTGTGATGTACTTAAAAAACAACACTATATATCACCTGTACAACGTAATTCCACACACTTGGAGATAATCAACAGATGAGTACAGAACATATCCTTCGTCACGTGTGGTCTACATGACAGAATAACAAAACGCAATTAATAACGTTTAAATTTGACGTAACAAAATCAACAAATAATTCATATACACGCAAGGTCTTGGGTGTGATATCGTTAACTTCGAACAACGAGTAGTCGAAGAGATGGGTTTTTAAACGCTTAAACTGCCTACATGTTGATTCTCAGGTTATTGCTTATACTTGTGTTTCTTTTACACCACAAACAGTACTTTAGTTCATTTATGTCAAATTTATTTACGGTCCCTCCTTATAATTGTTATACGATATGAATTATGCATGACAATGTCTAGCATTACAACTCTTAAGAGTTGTAATGTATTTCTTCAGTTTCTGGTGCCCCTCAGTGGCACAGCGGTATGCTTGCGGAGTTACAACGCTAGAAACCGGGTTTCGATACCCGTGGTGGGCACTGCACAGATAACCCTTTGTGTAGCTTTGTGCTTAACTTCAAAACAAAACAGTTTCTGGCGTTAAGGAAGAGTTGTAATGTATTTCTTCAGTTTCTGGTGCCCCTCAGTGGCACAGCGGTATGCTTGCGGAGTTACAACGCTAGAAACCGGGTTTCGATACCCGTGGTGGGCACTGCACAGATAACCCTTTGTGTAGCTTTGTGCTTAACTTCAAAACAAAACAGTTTCTGGCGTTAAGGCTTTCACGCCCAAAGCCCTGAAGAAATACATGCTTTGTGGATTGGAAAACGACAAACTATATTAGTTTTTTAAATCAAACTTTTCTGTTATTTGATTTATAGTTTACCTTTCCAGGGATCTCTGACAAAGGATGCTCGTTTTCTATTTCCTTTCATAAACCACGTGACTCGGCGTAACAAAGATACAGCTAAAACATGCTAGAATATTAGCAATTTCATTTAATGAAATTAGTTCATTTATAGGTTATTTCAACACATACGCAAATGTATACGGAAGGTAAGTTCGGTTCACTTTATCTACCACGACTTTACGCCTATGCTGTAACCATTTTTATAGTAACTTTTCATTAGGGCCTCATAGAGCCAGTACTGCGAGCCTACTGGCTTATAATCAACTAGGATGTTATACACATTTATGGCGAGGCTGATGAGCATGCACGCAGTCGTATATTCATTACCTAAATATCTAGGTTTGAGTGGAAGTTATTATTTTAAGTACTTTGGTAGTCAGTGTAATTAACAGTACGCCTTTTTAGCGTGTAATAAAACACATTAAAAACAAACATTGCCCATTAATGCCAATATAAATAAATCTGCACATTATAAATATTTATTTGCGAAAAAGTAAGTATCAAAAATCGTTATTATACTGAAAATGAAACATTTAGATGGGAAACATCTCTAATATGATCAGCCAGATGTTGAAGCAATTTTCGATATGGTTTGTTAATCATTCTAAACTTTGATTATGTTGTTTAAATATCTTAATCGACATGATTTTTATTGATTTAAAAACACTCTATTGTTAAGGTTTTTACTCATCCATTTTACATTTTAAAATTTTAATTAATACCATCAGATGTCGTAAATTCATACAGGCATTGCAAGAGACCATAAAAGTCCAATATTATAATTATAATTCCTATATTATTTGTAAAACCGACAGTAAGGAGTTTTTTTTGTATTCAATCTCCGGTACAGATACGTGTAGTAAATACGTAATAGTGGTGGGGGTAACATTTTTGTCACGCATATTGTTAGAAACGATTAAAACAGATTAAGTTTGTAAAACACTTTTTTTCTTTTTTTAAACATTATAGTGAAATGAAACACGATACTTAAATCTTAATACATTTTTTCTCGTAAAATAATATTTAAACAGAAATATTTGTGGACATAACAGAGAATCTTGCTCTTGAAAAAGGTGTAATATTAGTACTTCCATTAAAACATTTTTCATGACTGATACAACCTATTCTGATGTCAAAGAAAAGTAATCAGAAATATGACGATAAAGATAATAGTTTGAAAATTAATTTGTCTTCTAAATAATGTAAACTATAATGTACATATATATATAACAGCTGTTGTAAAACACGTTTATATTTCATACTAATAACTATTAACATTTATACACATCACTGTTAGTAGCTGTTTATTGTTGTGCCAGGAAAGCAATGTCAAACTAAACAAGAGGGAATCCTCAATAGCTGCAGCACTTGAAATTCCTTTAGGCATGATTAGAGTAAATTAATGTATAGGATCTTCCCCCCCCCTTTTTTATCAGCTATATTTTTGTGCGCCACCAATACCAAGCGTGGGGCGCGCGTATATCCCAATTCGATTTTATTACTCATCAGGATTTCTTCCAGTCTACTCTCAAATTGACATTCTTTTAGGCAGGATTAGAGTAAATTAATCTATGAGACCTTGGACGTGGTCAAATACACCAATCAAAAGGGTTTGACCTCCTGAGTCCAAAACTGTAATTAGATCACAAATCGGTAAAGAGATGACGGAGATATGAACTAAAAGTTTGTACTTGAAAAAACAAACAAAAAAAACAACTCAAGAGTCGTTCTATGAGCGGCTATGCCGCGACTAAAAATGTTGAATGTGTACTTCCAGCGTTGATTTTTATCTTTAGCACTTACTTGTTTAACTACTTAAAAAAATGAAAAAAATATATATTTACTATCTCTCTTCCAGGACAAAAGGACAAAAGTTTAGCCATTTAGAAAAAAAAAATTACATCTGTCTTTTATCATTCACAACATAATGTATAGCTACATCCTTTACATCTGTCTTTTGTCATTCTCAACATAATGTATAGTTACATCCTTTACATCTGTCTTTCGTACAAATTACTTTAAATTAGTAAAGCATGTGACGTTCTAGAATTGGTAAAGCAACATACTTATGGGATGTAACTATACATTATGTTGTAAATAATAAAAATAGATGTAAGGGATGTAACTATACATTATATTGTGAATAATAAAAATAGATGTAAGGGATGTAACTATACATTATAATGTGAATAATAAAAATAGATGTAAAGGATGTAACTGTACATTATGTTGAGAATGATAACAGACAGGTGTAAAGGATGTAACTATACATTATGTTGAGAATGATAAAAGACAGATGTAAAGGATGTACTATACATTATGTTGAGAATGATGTTGTTGAGTTTAGTGTGAATATGATTCAAGAAAATGTAACGTTTTTGATTCTCTATTTGGGCAATAAATTCTTGCTAGTTTACACACTCAGTCAACAAATTTCCAACTTATACCTATATTGGCACAGCTCTTCACACAATTTAATATGTAAACACAATTATACTATCTAGAATCAGATATATATAATGTTAATTATTCAGAACTTTTAACCTTAATGCATAATAAAATTATTCATATATAACACTCATATATATAATACTGTTATTAATAAACAAAACATTGCATACTTAAAATTCCTAAACTGAAAAAATATTTTATGGGAAAAGTTAAAGTTCAGATTGCTGAAACATGATAGACTGAAGATTTCACAGGTGTAAATTTTCTATGTTCACAACAGCAGAGAATATGATTTTGAAGACAATTACATATCAACTGGCACTATAGGTGCACAATTTAGTACATCTATATAATCTGAATTTCATATTTTTAACTGTTTAAGTTATTGACTAACAAGTTTACTACAAATTGTAAATTTTCTCTAAAACCCTAATTACTTATATTTTATAACACAGTACAAATTTAATATTTTGGGTAAAATGCAAATTACAAGGGCTTATTTTCAAGGTATAACATGTCTATAACACTATACAATCTAAAGATGTTTGAGATGGCATATCTCCTTTAAACCCTTGACTGACTAGGCTTAAAAGCTCAAAAATTTACATACATGTATAGCTGTAAAATTAAATAAGAAAACTGGAACATAATTTCCAAATCTCTTTTTAACAGAACCAATGTTTACCATATAATTATAAGCTCTGTGGAAATTAAACTAATCCCTACTATTAGTCACATTAACTGTAATAATTCCTCTTCTTCCGAACAAAGCTGATTCTTGGGCCAAAAGATTGGCATCAGCATTCTCAGTGCTTCTGCAACCAATATTTATTCCATAAAATAAGACTCTTTTTTTTTTTCTCTCATCTCAGTTTTAATCAATTAATACAAGGAATCAGACCACTATGTATGAATGTTAAAGACATGAATTTAAAATCTAGCCTTAAAACTTAGTCTTTTAGGAAACACTTTTTTTATCAATATGATATGATTGTGTGTGTAAATATACATAATATACATAAAAAAATGGTTAAAAAATATTTATTCATATGTATGAAATTATATTATAATCTATAGAAAAATTACTCTTTATCATAAAATAATTAATTCACTTGTGTAATATCATAATTAAAATAAATTCTTACATACAGTAAACTCAAGTCCAAATCACATTCTCAAATCATATAACATGTAATAAATATAGCTAAAATGTATAGTGCATATACAAGTTAAGCAGAGTTTATAATTTAAACTAGGTAGATGCCAAGGCTAGCAATTATAAGTTTGGATTTCCAAATTTTCAAAGCTATCAATCACAAAGGTTAGTGTAGTTTTTATTCATGTACATGTTAGATTTTTCTTAAAACACAACACCTATCTCTTGTGATGAGAGAGTATACATCTAGTATAGCAACCATGTTTTATTTAAGGGTTAAGTTCTAGTTGAATTAATTTGAATCAAAGGTGAAGTTAACTTAGGATTCATGAGTCTTGTTACTGCTAATCTGAATATACATCTAGTTATAGCAACCATGTTTTATTTAAGGATTAAGTTGTAGTTGAATTAACTTGAACCAAAAGTGAAGTTAACTTAGGATTCATGAGTCTTGTAATTGCTAATCTGAATTGAGCTTTAACTCATCACATCCTCTTCTCCTCAATATAGTATATTATTGCAAGTTTCCCTTTTGTATCCTGTCTTTGGCACATTTCTGGTTACCACTATGTTATAGTTATACTCCAATAATTTTATTTATTATTTCACTAAAAGACACATTTGTGATTAACACTATCAAAATCTGACAACACTTGTCTCAAACCTGTTATCAAATTAACAAATTAGAGTTACAGTGCATTAACTGCATATTGGAGCACAATTACTAATCACATTACAGTATATAAATATTTGTTTTGTGATTCCTATTCAGTCATTGCCTTCTAATTACTATCTCTCAAATGAAAAAAAAAAGACCACGAAAATATGCAACACATGAATATTGCTGATAAAAAAATCAACCTTCAGCTCATTCCACTCTATTTTTCTAATGTTGCCTATTAAAATAAGCAATACAATATAATAATTGTGCACTTTCCTACATATATGAATTGGTATGAGTTGCAGCAGTGGGATGATGACAATACAATGCTATAAAATATTAACAGAAAGCACTTTTCAACCTGAGATCAATACATTAAATTATTCAATATTTTTCGGTTTTGTTGTTGTTATGATGGAAATATATTTTCTTTAGAAAGTAAATGTATTTGGGTATATAGCCTAGGTCATGGTACAGCAGAAAGCTCTCCAGATACAACTTATGTTTTTCTTTCGTTTATTTTATTTACATCACAGGGACTAACGCCGGTGTTACAAAAAAGTACGTTGTCACTGGATGTTCTAACTTCCAGTACTATTACTATGTTCTACAAACTAAGTGGGAGTGTAAGTGCATTTCGTAATAGTCTAACAGTATGTACTACGATGAAATATAAAATTTAAAAATGTTTCACCTTCTTTCGCTTTCATTATGAATGAGTACCACCAGTTACTACTGTTGATATTTAACTTTTAGTTTTATGCAATAATACAGATTATCTATGGAAAACAAATTTTATTAATTACTCCAAAGCCCTAAAAAAAAGCAACTGTCAATGAGAAAATTAACAAGGTTTTTACCTTTCTGAGATGTTGAATCGGTAGATGAGCTGACACAAGCGCGTTTACCTCCCCCAATTTTACCAGATTGTAAAAATTCCAGAGGTCGTGGCTCAGACGACGGAATTGCTGATTGAGCTGTCAATGCCATAAGCCTAATCAGGAAGTCTGAAAGTTCTTTCCATAATACATATCTTACTTATTTAGTGATTAAAGTTAGCAAATTATACTGTATTCTACCGAATACACAAAATGCACGTTTTGAGTATAAAATATTATATGCGAAAACAGGTTATATTCATATGTATACAAGTTTAACCTGACCGATCCCAGTGAATCATAGCTCTCTTATGGTTTCGAGAGTATTGACTTTCACGCACTAGGTGTCTCTAGCATCTCGTATAAAAATAAAAATTCGACTGAATTATAATTTGTATAATTATTGAATTATTACAGTTTGTTGATAAACAAATTTTATAATAAAGACTTGGTTTCTGTTATTCTTAATAAATTCATTGTGCATCACAAAGTATGTTTTATTAAATATATTATATTTATATATAAATATATTTGAATAACATATAAATACAATATATTTATACTGTATATTATAGTTATAATGTAAAAACATATACCGTATTTGATGGCATATAGGACGCATGGGTATATAAGACGCACCCCCATTTCAGCAGGTCAGATTCAGGAAAAAAAGTTTTTAGTGTATTTAAGCATATATTAGTGAAAGTAATCTAACAGCAC